TGCACTGATTGACTTCCTTCACAAAACATTTCTCTAGCATGCAGTGCTCTTTGGTATCATATTACCCATAGTAAAACTTTTCAGAATCAGTCAATCCTCTCAACCTGCTGCTGCTTAAAAGTTTATGTAATATTCTAAATACTTTGTTGTGGTTGATCTTCTATCCAGACCAAATTTTCTCCATATTGGCAGTAAGGCTGTTTTGCTTTATCACTCATGTGTTCACTGGAGTGGTATTTTTCATTTCCTTCAAGAATTTTTTCTTTGCATTTACAACTTGGGTAACTGGATCAAGAGTCCTGGCTTTTAGCCTGTCTTAGCTTTTTAACATGCCTTCCTCATTAAGTTTAATCATTTCTAGCTTGTGAGTCTTCCTTTCACTTATAACACTTAGAGGCCACTGTAGGGTTGTTAATTGGCCTAATTTCGTTATTATTATGTCTTAGAGAATAAGGAAGCCCAAGGAGAGGCACAGATGGGGGCTTGACCATTCAGTGGAACCAGTCAGAAAGCACATACTTACTGATTAAATCTGCCTTCTTATATGGGCATGGTTCATGGTGCCTGAGAACAATTACAATAGTAACATCAAAAATTACTGATTACTGATCACCATAATAGATATAATAAGGTCTGAAATATTAGGAGAATTATCAAAATTTGATACAGACACAAAGTAAGAAGAACTTGTTGGGAAAATGGGGCCAACAGACTTACTCGATGCAGGGCTGGCATAAACCTTCAATTTGTAAAAATTGCAATTATCTGTGAAGTGCAATAAAGCACAACAAAGTGAGGCATGCCAGCACATAACTCCACAGTGGTTCATCAGTATTTACCCTTAAAAAGCCCAATGAAATTTACCTCAGGAACACTCATTTGACCGTCCAAGTGCAGATCTAAAGTCTGGGTCATCGGCCTCATTCCCAAGTCTTGATACAGAATCCAGAGAAACATTTACTTCCACCCCTCAGGCCATCAGCCAAGCTTAAGCCCTTTGGTCTCTGTGTCTTTACAAACTCAAGATAGTAACATTCCTTACCTCAAGAAACTGGAAATTTTAAAAACAAAAATCCTAGCTGGGTGTGGTGACTCACACCTGTGATTCCTGCACTTTGGGAGATAGAGGCAAGAGGATTGCCTGGGCCCAGGGGTTCGAGACCAGCCTGGACAACTTGGCAAGACCTCATCTCTACAATAAATCAAAAACTTAGCCAGGCATGGTGGCACACACCTGTGGTTCCAGCTACTTGGAAGGCTGAGGCAGAAGGATCGCCTGAGCCTAGCAAATCGAAGCTTCGGTGGCCATGAGCAGTGTGCCACTGCACTTCAGCCTGGACAACAGAGTAAAACTCCAACTCAAAAAAAAAAAAAAAAAACCTTTCCTTTCTCACTGATTCCCATTCCCCTGAAACCTCAGCGCTTGTTATATTTGAAGTGAACAGTATTTTATTAAAGAATAGATATTAGGAGACAGGTGTAGTAGTTATTGCCTGTAATCCCAGCTACTCTGGGAGGTTGAGGAAAGAGGACAGCATTTTCTGATAAGTAGCATTTAGTACAATTAGACATGGAAAAGCCTAGCTTAATCGGAAGCAGGAAGATGTTTGTACCATAAAGGATAATCTATCGGCTGTTGGAATATCAAATGAGGTTTAGTCTAAAGGGGAGACAGCATAGCATAGGGGTAAAGGGTAATGGCTCTGGTCAGACTGCCAGAACTTGAAATTCCTGCTACTTAAACTTTGGCAAGTTAACTTCTCTGTACCTCAATTTTCCATCTGTAAAATGGAGTTAACGTCTCTCCCCCTTACAGGATTCTTATTAAACAATGGGGTAAAGTTTTTTGATGTCTGGTGCAACAATCCATGCACCTTAACACTCAGCTCTAGGTTCTCGTTATCCAGTCAATTTCTTATTTGTTGATGGAACTTACATACTGCATTAGACCAAAGAGGTGGGGAAGGCGAACTTTCTGTAAAGGGCCAGTCAGTCATACGTTAGGCCTTGCTGGTCAGAGGGTGCCACTCTGTTGCAACTGTTCGATTCTGTCATTGTAACACAAAAGCTGTCAGAAATAACATGTAAACAAGAATGATAGCTCTGTTCCAATAAAACTTTTATTTACAGAAACTGAAATTTAATCTCACATAATTTTCATATTACAAAATAGTCTTCTATTGACTTTTTTCTCAACCATTTAAAAAACGTAAAGCCCATACTTAAATTGTAGACCATTTCATAATAGGCAGCAGGTTAAATTTGACCCATGGGTAGCAGTTTGCTAACCCCTGCTTAGATGAACAAATTTATGAGCTTTGGAAGTTTTGTGAGGAACTTTCAGGGAGATTTGAAATACAGGTTGGTGATGCAGAAGAAAGAGGAAATATCTAAGTATAATAGAAAAAAAGAGATTTAGTGCTGTTATTTATCAACACTAGAATCAACTATGCACAAAATATTTCATCTCACAGTGAGATTCAGATACAGAAGTCAGTCTCTGCTCTCAAGGAGCTTACACTTCTCCACGGTAGCTTTGAAATGGAAAGGCTTCCTTCAAAGTACAATAGAACCTTCTCAGACTTTTACATTGCACTTGCATGTGCTCATTCATGAAGCAGGTAGTTTTAGCACTTCCACCTACAGCTGAAGCCAAACGTGCATTACTGTCTTGGCCACCTGCGTGTCTTCCTTCCCCCAAAGAATTTTACTACCAGGTTTTTCCCTCTGCTTCAACTTATTTTGCTCTGCATTATAATTTTGGGGGTAATATTAACGATGATGTACTAGGGGTCAACTGGCTCCATCTTTTAAAAAAATGTACATTGAGGGCACAGTGGTTCAAGCCTGTAATCCCAGAATTTTGGGAGATGGAGGCGAGAGGATTGCCTGAGCTCAGGGGTTCAAGGCCAGTCTGGGCAATTTGGTGAGACCTTGTCTCTACAATAAATAAAAAAAATAAACTGAGTGTGGTGGCACACACCTGTGATTCCAGCTACTTGGAAGACTGAGGTGGAAGGATCGCCTGAGCTCAGTAGATCGAGGCTCCAGTGGCCGTGAGCCTGCCACTGCACTCCAGCCTGGGTGACAGAGTGAGACTCCAATACAAAAAAAAAAAAATTATCATTTAAACTCGTCTTCAGAGAGACCATCTTCATTATAATAGGTACTATGTTAGTGACTCCTGTGGGGTTTTTTTTCAATCAAGGTAGAAACTTGTCCCTAGGAGGCAGGATAAACAGATCTTTTATTTATTTATTTATTTTTTTGAGTTGGAGTCACTCTGTTGCCCAGTCTGGAGTACAGTGGCACGCTCACGGCCACCCCAGCGTTGACCTGCTGGGCTCTAACAATCCTTCTGCCTCAAGCTTCCAAGTGGTTGGAACTACAGACGCACGCTACCATGCCTGGCTAATTTTTTTTTTTTTTAATTTATTGTAGAGATGAGGTTTCACCATGTTGCCCAGGCTGGTCTCAAACCTGCAGGTTCAGGCAATCCCCTCACCTCGGTCTCCCAAAATGCTAAGAATACAGGCTTGAGCCACCATGCTTGGTCAACAGGTCCATCTCAGGCAAAAAAAAAAAGGTCAGAAAAATATTTTCTCCAAGAAAATGTTAAATATTTTATCCAAAAGAATACAAAATTGAAATTTTAAAATGGACAAAACATAGTGCTCTGGTATATAGCTCATTTGGTTCTGAAGATTGTGGATTTCAAATAATTCAGCAGAAACCCCTATGTCAGTATGTCAAGCACAGAATGGAAATGAACATAGTTAATAATTAAAAAGAAAACAAAGGGCTGTTTGTTTATAAATAAAAAAGTATTACTATCACTATAGTATAGTATAGTATAACATGAATAAAAATTAACAAGAATGAAATATCACCAATATTGTTTTGACTGGGATACTAGAATGACATTCATTTCTTAAGTACTTTTCTTGCAAGAATTGTCTGTACTATTTACCTTTTAAAGACAATAGAACACTGAAAATCAAAGATTAGAAAGCAACATTTAGGAAATTTAAGATCATCTCAACAGAACAAGCCTGATTTATCTCAGCAAAATTTCAAATCAAATTGGAGGGAAGAGCACACTCAACAGATTAAAAAAAAGTTAAGACAGTAAAATATTTTGTCGTGACAAAAGGTAATAGAAGCTTATAATGCTGAAGTTCTTAAAATCACCTAAGAATTGTGCCTAATAGACCATTTCCTTACTAGACTCTGGTGTGGCCATGGGCTCTTGGAGCTATGGCCACCATGTTTCCTGGCTTTGGCCCCCTCCCCTACCTTGGGGAGGTGAATCTCCTCTTTTATTTTCTTTCTAAATAAACTATATTTTCTAATCTAAAAATAATAATAATAATAATTGTGCCTAATAGACTCCTGTGATTTGTTATTTTCTACTCCTTTGTCCTAAGCACAGTGAGAATTTATAGGAAATTCTTAAACTTTCAGTAATACTTTACAGTGTACTGTGCAGTGCTATCTGGGATTCACAAACATCTCACCCTAAGTCTACTATATAAACCCAAAACACCTAGATTTTCTTGTCTTATTGAAATCCATACCCTGTGCCTTCTGTTATTCGCAAGTTATTCTTTATGATGCTGATTATATAACTGTTGCTCAAAGGAGGACATTTATTTGCTCAAGAAACCTACAGTCATGTAGAGAAATCTCACGCCAAGAAAAATGCCCACTTTTGTACTTTTCTCCTATCAGGCTTGAAAAACTTTTAGGAAATCCAGTTGATTATAATATATAAATAGTTAAAATAGCATCACAATGATGATTAAAAGGTAAAAGAAAGGAAGCGAACAATGTCAGTGAAATTGTTCCGTGAAAGTTAGAGGGAAACTTAATTCTGAAAATAACTATTTTTAGCCACTAGATAAGAGTATTACGTTATCAACTCCAAAAGCAAATTTTTGTTCTGAGAATTAGTTAGCTACTAACTATTCAATATTTAGTGCCCAACTCACTATGTAAAATCAGACAAGCAAATATTTTATTGACTAACTCCACTGGTATCCAATGGAATTTTTAATAATAAAAATATAAGACATGGGTAGAAAGTAACATTTGACTTTATTAACCTCACTTGTGATACTGAATACAAATCCTTAATTTTAGAGTCTATTTCAGAGCATAATCTCTTAGATTGAAGAATTAAGGTAGATAAATGTCACAAGAGAGAGGGGAACCAAACAATCAAATTTTTTAAAAAATTGATTTATTTATGTATTAGAAAGTGTGAACTACAGCCCTTATGATATTCCTTTAAATAGCATTTTCTTCTGACTTCCCATTAATCTTATCAGTAACTGAATTTTTTAGCCAGACCCTATACTCTACCATAATCCTTCCAATTATGAGTCAAAAAGAAACACAGGTAGATATGTATATCAAGTATCTTATGAAATTCACCACACATAGCTAAACTTCACATATAACCTTCAAAAAATCAAAAGGACTATGATATTCCTAAAACCCAAAGGCTAGATAAGGTCTACCTTCCAATATTTTCTGCATTTTAAGATCTATTTGATCTAAGATGTTAATGTAGAAATACATTCTATATTTTAACAACAGTAAGATATGACATTCAAGGGAAGAACCAATTAAGACTTTGCATTTAAAACCAAAGGGAACATATTCTTGGACACCTTAATTTATAAAATTCAATCCTAAGCAGGAACTGCTACTATGTAACAAATACTGCTCATATCAAAAGTGCTGGTGACAAAGAATTCAATATGCCCTCCCGCAAAATCTGTCGCCATCTCTAATTGTAATAAGATTTTAAGTGTTTTAAGGTGTTTAAAGTTTGCACTGCAGGACTAATTCAATGGGTATTCATCTGCTACCTTTTTGTAGCAATTTCAATTACATCCAGAAAAAAATGCTGTTACTTTCTAAAATGTGGCATCTGTGGAGGTGGAGTGCCCTCTATAGGTGAGGAAGTAGACACACTCATTAGCTGTCCGGCATGCATTTTCTCATTGATTCGAAGTTCACATCCATCCTGAAGCATTCGAACGGCTATTCGGGCGATGTTCTTAGAGTCATCAAGACCACTGTGAGGCCGCCCGTCATAATCCATTCCTAATTTTTCAAGCATTATTGTCAGTTTGGTTTGGCTTCTAGGAACCTGAAAAATAAACAGCTTAGTAAATATTCCTTTAGTGTTCTAAACTCCAAATATAAGCCAGTTAAACTGAAAAATAAGAAACTGAAAATTAACAGTAATAGCTAAATAAAGTTAGACAAAGGGAAATATTCTGATCAAATGAGGCAAATAAATTACTCAAATTTTCAGAGCTTTCCAAAATGATCTCAAAGTTTTAGCTGAAAAAACAAATATAATCCTCAGCTAACAACTGTGCAGTTTTGTAATTTAGCAAATCACTTGTTAAAGGGAATGTGTTGTTCTGAACATCTAAACTGAAAATCTACCATTTAGACCAAATGAATTATTTTTAACGATATTTTTCTATAATGCATTACTCTTGACTCACTCAGACAGATAAAAAGAATATTTAGTCTTTTGGATGGCTAAAGATAACAAAGAACAAGAATGAAAAATGGTGCTATGTGGTATTTTCAACCTATTTAAAAACCTGAAACTTGATAAATACAATAATCCCATATATTCCCCAGATTCCAACATGCATCTCCACATTTGAGGACCACTATTATCTTTTTTGCATATCCCTATCAAGAACATTTGTTCAATTTTACATTCTAGAATTTGTATAGTTATATCATCTATGCATCTTTTTTACCTTCACTTCAAAAACAGCATTTAAATGCATATATAGGCCTATAAAATAGAAAAACTAACACATTTGTATAATTCTGCAAATACTAAGCCCGCATTTGAGCATGATATGCTCTGCAGAAAGAAACGTTTGAGTTTCTCCCCCAAAATCTTATATAAAATTGTATCTTAGGCTATATTTTTATTTATATTGCTTCAGTTTACTTTTAGAAAAATCAAATTTCATTTTAGCTTAATTCAATTATTTCATAGAAATGTATATTTGCCTTATAAGTTTGTTAAATTTATGAAAAGCAAAAAACAAATTAATCTCAAGTTTAACTACCCATTTCCATCCTCTGCCTACAAGAAAGAATGGATAAAGTTATTTTTAGTCTTAAAAAAGGAGAAAAAAAGTTCTTGCACATACCACCTACTAGATACCTTAATAGCACTGTACATAGTAGAGACTTGGGATAAAGACTTTTGGGTCTACTTGGATTTTACAAAAAACAGAAAAAAGGAGGAAATTTTTTTAAAAGGAAATGTTAGTTTCTTCTGCTTACACTAGTAATGGGCATTACAGTTATCTATTACAAAGAAGGAGAAATCACACAAAAAGTAGGCTAAATAAACTGGCCAAAATAACATCCACAAAAAATATTTTAAAAAGCACTGCAAATGTAATTGCCTTATTTATCTACAGCTTTCTGATTACACCAATGTACTGTGAGCTGTAGATATTTTTATGCAGACTTGAAAATATTAATTATAAATAATAAACCTTAAAATAAATTATTCCTCTAAGCCATAGGTTTATGAAAAAAATGCCTTAATAGAAGGTATTACCATCTGAGAGTTACAGCAAAAAAACAAACCATACAGGATCAAACTCATAAACTTGAGTAAAATTTACACGAAATACACAGGATGGAGGCATGTCTGAAACTATATTGCAGAACAGAGTTAGCGAAATCCAGAATGGGGAAAACATTACAAAACAAATGACTTAGTTCCCTTAAAAAAAATAATATAGGGGAGGGGAAGAAGGGGAGATGGAAGGGAACATACAGAAAAAACTAAAGAGACATATCAACCAACTGCAAATCTGTGAAACTTATTCCGATCCTGACTCAATACACAAAAAAGCAAAAGAAAACAAAATATTTATGACTATTTGACAACAGTAAGGAATTATTAATTTTTTTTTAGATGTGAGAATGGTATGGTAGTTGTGTTTTTAAGAAAAGAACCCTCATCTTTTGGTGCTATGTAATGAAATATTTACAGACTAGATGATACAATATCTGATTTTTCTTCAAATAATAAGGAAAAGGAAAGTAGGTAGGGATGCAGATGAACAAAGTTGGCTATGAGTTTATAACTGTTAAAACTGGGTCTTGGAGGTTCATTATAGCTATCTAATTGCTACATATGTTTGAATATTTTCCATAACAAAACTTTTTTGTTTTTAATCACAAAGTGAGTAAAAAGATAATTCACAAAAAAGGAAAAAAAATCAAATATAATCAAAACACTAGTACTCAAAAGACCTATAAACCTATAACAAAAGATGAGACTACCCAATTTTTTTTCCATTGGTAGAAATTTAAACAGGGACTTCACAGAATAAGAAATCCAGAGAACTAATAAATATACCAAAAGAAGTTCAACCTTATGAGTATTCAGGCAAATGCTATAATGCACCTCAATGAGATGGCATCACACATCCACCAGATTTACAAACATCTAAAGTGTTTGGCAACATCAGATTCTGGTAAAGACTTAAAGCAACTGTGAACTTACACACTGCTGGTGAGAGTGCAAATTGGTATATCTCCTTTGGAAAACTATTTTTGCAATATCTAGTCATGTCAACGATGCACATATCCTTGACTCAGCAATTCCACTCCTAGGTTTATACCCTACAGAAATGAGTACACAAAGGTACCAGGGATATATATAAGAATATTTATAGTAGCCCTGTGCATAAAACTAAAAGCAATCCAAATGGCAGCCAAAGTAGAACAGACAAATAATTTCTGGTATATTCACACAATGGAATTCTACACAGCAATAAAGTGAGTGAGCTGCAGCGACATACCCATACCCAACATAAATGGACCTCAAGCATAATGTTGAGAAAAAAGGTAAAATAAATAATATAGTTAGTGTAATACTAATTATATCATGCTCAAAACCAGAAAAAACTATATGGTATAAGGAAATACATATCAATATTAAGGCTATAAGAAAAAACAAGAAGATGATTACAATGAAAGTAAGAATCAGGACTAGCTTAGGAAGGAAGAAAAAGGAGTTAAATAAGTGAAAGTTGCAAGGGCATTCACTTTAAAACAATCTGCTAAACTCTACTTTTCTACATGCATGTTTTCTACATGCATATTTCTCAGTTTTTAAAAAGTAAAACAGTCAGGCATGGTAGCTCATGCCTGTAATCTCAGCTCTTTGGGAGGCTGAGGCAGGCGGACTGCTTGACTCCAGTAGTTCAAGACCTGCCTGGGCAACCCCATCTCTACAAAAAATAAAAAAAATTAGCTGGGCATGGTGGCACATGCCTACAGTCACAGCTACTCGGGAGGCTGACGTGGAAGGACCACTTGAGCCCCACAGGTCAAGGTTGCCGTGAGCCATGACCCCAAGCCACTGTATTCCAGCCTGGGTGGCAAAGTGAGATCCTGATTCAAAAAAAGTGTTCCAACAACAACAACAAAAGGTTTTTAAGGAAAAACATTTTTTCTCAGAAAACTACATTAGGACATACGTCTTAAAAAGGAAACTGTAAGCCAGGCTCGGTGGCTCAGCCTATAATCCCGCGCCTTGGGAGGCTGAGGTGAGTGGATTGCCTGAGCCCGCGGGTTCGAGACCTGCCTGGGCAGCGAGACCTCATCTCTACAATAAATCAAAAAATCAGCCGGGTGTGGTAGCGCGCGCCTGTAATTCCGGCTACTCGGAAGGCTGAGGCGGAAGGATCGCCGGAGCCCAGCAGGTCGAGGCTGCGGTGGCCGGGAGCGGCCACTGCACTCCAGTCTGGGTGACAGAGTGAGACTTCAACTCAAAAAAAAAAAAAAGGAAACTGTAAAGAGAGAAAGACATATGACACAGATCTAACACATGACAGAGAAGCAAAGGAAATTCCTTGATATGATTTTAGAACAAGGCAGAAGAACACATAGTTCAGATCAGAACAGGATTAAAGGCTCCAGGAAGACAGGCTCTAAGGAAAAAAAGAAAGCCTGACAGACTGAGTGCTTTGAAGCAATGAAAAGTGACTTACAGTTTGAATAGAGAGCAAGAGGATAAGTAAACAACTAAAGAAGTAAATTATAATGCTGGGTGCAGTAGCTCACACCTATAATCCCAGCACTTTAGGAGACTGAGGTGGGAGGATTACTTGAGGCCAGGAGGTAGAGGTTTCAGTGAGCTGTGATCGTGCCACTGCACTACAGCCTGGGCAACAGAGCAAGACACTGCCTCAAAAAAAAAAAAAAAAAGTAAATTATTACATCTAAGGGAAAAGTTGTGAATGCTCTTCATAGTGCTAGAACTATAAACACTGAATAATGATTTGACTGTAAAGGTATTATATTACAAAGGTGCAGGGAGGAGAAGGATATGCAGGACTGGTGGCTTAATAGAACTAAATCTTCATCCCTCATTACAAGAATTCAGAGATATCTCATACTGAAAATTCAAGAAAAAGTATAAACACACAACTTAGAAATATAAAGGTAAATATTTGAAAAAATAGTTTTTAAAAAGGTTGAATGGGGGCAATCCCTGGGGTCCCCTCCCATTGTGGGAGCTTTTCTGTCCTCTCAATAAACCCTGCTTTCAAAAAAAAAAAGTCGAATGGAATTAAGGAGAATGGGAACCAGTTCTGGTGAGGGCTGTGGCAGAAGACTGCCATTTGTTATAAGCCTTGCAGTGTTATTTTTAAAATGTACACTACACACATGTATTAACTTTGATAAAAGTAAAAAGTAAAATAAAATTAAAATTTAGTGAAGGATATTTGCTCCACAAAAAAATTCACATATTGAATTCTCCTACAGTTTCAAGACAGAGGTTTGAAACTGTAGGGGTACTCAATATGTGAAAAAAAAAAAAAAACATATTTAAATAATGGTTAATAGGATAAAAGAGAAAAAAGCCTATCTTTCTCTTGTTTTCTTTTTTTTTTTTGAGTTGGAGTCTCACTCTGTCGCCCAGACTGGAGTGCAGTGGCCACTCCCAGCCACCGCAGCCTCGACCTGCTGGGCTCCAGCAATCCTTCCACCTCAGCCTTCCAAGTAGCTGGAACTACAGGCGCGCGCTACCATGCCCGGCTAATTTTTTAAAAATTTATTATAGAGGTAAGGTCTCGCCAAGTTGCCCAGGCAGGTCTCGAACCCGCGGGCGAAGGCAATCCACTCACCTCAGCCTCCCAAAGGCGCAGGATTACAGGCTGAGCCACCGAGCCCGGCTTCTAATTTAAATATAACTAATTTGGAGTCTGAAAAGTAACAACGAATTATATGGGCTTTTTTGTGAAAAACACCTAAAAATTCACAACTTAACGAACATGCAAAATATAACAAATTTATTACTAATTGCTGTATAATGAGTAAATACAGAAATTTTACCTTGTAAAAGTTTCCATATGACTTTCGAATATTGATCCACTTTTTAGCAAAAGGGGGATATTTGAGTCTGCTAAGTTGGCACTGAATGTTCAAGAACTTACTCATATCCCATGAACTACAAATCAAAAGCAGAAAAAAATGGATAAAATAAATGCTATACTATTCCTACAAATAAATCTTTTAAATCATTTATTTACAAGTTCTCATAGTCACATATAACATACAGTCGAGAAAATAAACCTCACTTCCTATAAAATACAAACTGAAAAATAAGCTGGTCAGGCACAGTGGCTCACGCTTGTAATCTCAACACTTTGGGAGGCCGAGGTGAGAGGACTGCCTGAGCCAGTGGTTCGAGACCAGCCTGGGAAACATGGTGAGACGTTGTCTCTACAACAACAACAACAACAAATTAGCTGGGTGTGGTGCCACATGCCTGTAGTTCCAGCTACTTAGAAGGCTGAGGTAAAGGGATCGCCTGAGCCCAGCAGGTCAAGGCTGCGGTGGCCATGAGCAGCATGCCACTACACTCTAGTCTGGGCGACAGAGTGAGACTGACTCAAAAAAAAAAAAGGAAAAAAACTTTTAAAAAGCTTTAAAAAAACAAAAAAAAATCAGACATATATATAATTTTTTTTCACAACTAATTCTTATTAGGCTCATCTTGATTGTTTTTATGGTTCTGATTGCCTGGGTAGACTTCTATCTTGCTAAGTATTTTTTCATAATTCTAAAAAAACCCTGCTAAGCTTACTTTTAATACCAGACTTAGCATATCAGTAACACAGTAAGTTCTTTGGAGGTATGTTGTAAAATAAAACAAAAAACTTGAAATAGACAAAACCAACTGGTATCAAGTGGTTAAAATACAACCTGTTCTGCTATAGCACACTTATATAACAGAACACTAATCAATTTATTGTAGTTAAGAAGGATAAAATTGATTGTAAATGTGGAAACTGTGTTGGGTCATATGTGATCTTTCTTAAGCAAGGGGAATCAGAATAGTAGCAACAGAAATTATAACCCTCAACAAGAAATAAAAAAGCCTTTAACTCAGCTGCTATACTGGTAACAAGATATACTTTTCTCTATATTCTTATCAACTGTATTTTAAGAAAATTAAAAACAAGTCTGTCCCTGGAATCCTACTGCTTCTCTGCATTTTTAATATCCTCAAGCCGGATGTGGTGGCTCACATCTGTAATCCCAGCACTTTGAGAGGTAGATGCGAGAAGGTTGCCTGAGTTCAGGTATTCAAGACAAGCCCAGGCAACTTAGGGAGACCTTGTCTCTACAATAAATCAAAAAATCAGCCAGGCATGGTAGTGTATGCCTATAGTTCCAGCTACTTGGAAGGCCGAAGCAGAAGGATCACCTGAGTCCAGCAGGTTGAGATGACATTTGCCATGAGCGTGCCACAGCACTCCAGCCTGGGCGACAGAGTGAAACTACTCAAAAAATTTTTTAAAAAGATCCTCTAGGGCAATCTCCAGTCACCCAACCTGTGCTGCTTGCCTGAGCTGTCCAAATTATTTCTGGAGGTATCTATCATTATTTTTGTTAGTGTTCTGGTTACAAAATTGCAGAGGTTTTGAACAATCTGCTCAGAAAGAGAGGTCTTTACAGAATTGCACATATTGTATTATGGAAGAAACACCTGTATACTTTAGCAGAACACTGCTCATTTGTATTTAACTTCCATCTTCTAACACAATTATGACATGACAACATATGATGTCTTCTATCATATGTGAGGATCTCTCAACCCTCTATGTTGGCGACATCTCAGCTATAGAGTACAATCTGTCCCCAGTTTGAAACAGGTGTTTAGGACCCTCTTCTTCAACCTTAATGCCATTACAGTACAGGAGTTGCCCTGGCACAATGTCTGTAACCCTTGTTTTAATCTTTCTGATCCTCCTATTTAGTTTTCCATTTAGCAAATGCTTTTTGAACACACACCTTGAGCTCAGCACTACAGTAAGCCTTATGGAAGATTTTAAAAATCTGAAAGGATTTTTAATTTCCTTGCCAAAGTCAGTCTCACATATATCAGAATATATGGTCTGATGCCAACATGAGTGGCATGTATCATAGAAACTGAAAGACTTCGAGATTGTCTGGGTAAAACACGTGGTGGGCTTTGAATAATGGAGAAGTATTAGTTGAGGCAGAGAATCTCTCAGTAGAGGGACGCATGAATAAGTATATAGAAAAATAACCAACCATGTAAATTCATGTACCAGCCTGACTGGAGTAAAGACGAATGATGTTAAGTGGGTGAGGTTAAATAGGTGGTGGTGGTGGTGGCGGCGGGGGATGAGATGACAGTTAAATGTCACGCTGAAAAGTGTGGACTTTTTAGAGCAAGGAAGTGTCATTATAAAAACAGGGTTTTAGGAAAGTAATTTTAGTTCTACATGTTAATATTTCTCTTTCTCTAGTCCTCTAGTTCCAGATTAGACTGTAATAACAGCTTTCTTTCCTCTCTTTCATCCCCAGGATTCAAATTTTAAGTAGGAATAAGAATATGAAAGGAGCAAATACTGGCCCCTGTGGGGTTTTTCTAGAGGCTTTAATAATATTCTTCTGTGGTTATTCTAAAAGTTAAATAAATAAGGATATCTGTAATCTTAAAAAGTAGATTTATAAAGGTAATCTTCCTAAATACTTACCCATCTGTTAATATGGAATATTTATACTTTGTTCCTAATTCCTTCAATTTCATCCAGTCAATTACTTTTTTTAGTACCTGAGGGAAGGTATCAGCTCTGTCTACCTGATCCTAAGGATATAAAAGTCAAAGAGATAAAGATCAGGGCTGTAGCTACACACAGTCCTACAAAATACCCAGGCTAAATTGGAGGAAAAGGAACAGTATGAAAAAGGCTTATATCTGATATTTTAAATTCTTCATTATTTCCTTGGCTTAGATCCACCTAAAATTTCATTTTTAAGATCATTAAAAATTGTTTATAACCAAGTATTAAAAACTGCTGTCAACTGAAGCATATAATCCTCCCAAAATTAAGATTTAAGATCATCTCCAGCAGTTTTTTTTTGCAGGCCTCAACCTAGTAGCATACTGGTTCTCCAGAGTGGAAAGAAGAGAAATATCTAAGCTGAAAGCCTCAGTCCCCTATGTGGTCTTCCCATAAGTCTCACACCTTTCCCACCAAACTACACATCATTCCACACACCATACTGCACACTGCTGCCAGAGTGATCATCCTAAAGTATAAATCTGACCCATCACATCATTCTTATACCCAAAGACCTCCAACCACACTCCAAGGCCTTCAGGATGAAAAGACACACAAGATCCTTTATGATCTAGACTGCCTCTGCCTAGCTTGATCATTTTCTTAAAAGCCCACACTGAACTAACTGCAGTTCTGACATTCCAAACCCGAAGTGACCAGCTATTCTTTGCTGCCCACTTGTCTATCATAACTCAGCCCCAATTCAACAACTTGGGAAGTTTTTCCCAGGGCAGCCCTCCATTCCCTCTTTCATATATGGCAATCCTTTTTACAGATGTCTTAATACCCTGATCAAACAGTGACGTGTCAGTCTTCCTAACCATCCAGTGACCAGGTTTATTCTGCCTGTCCTCCTGACTTATAGATTTTAAGTGAACTGAGGACAGTGACTGACTTGACTGTCTTTGTCACCCTAGTACCCTGGCACACAGTAGCACTCAAATATATGTGAAGTAAATGACTGAAGAAACTAAATAAATAAATAAAGGGCCTCCCATATTAGAATACCATAAAAAATCAGAGACCTAAAAAACCAAACTATATATAGTCAAGTTGTACGCAGATACCTTCTAAAACTTATCTCCAAATTTAGTGTGGTAACACTTACTTTGCTAATGCTTCATCTTATAAATGAAATCTTTTAAAAGTCATCACTTACAACATCTTAAAAGGAATGGCTGAGGAAAAATGTTTCCAGGTATAAAATTTGCTTTTGTATACTTTTTAATATTACACTCTGAAAGATCTTTACCAAGCAAGGAAATAATCACATTAATTTAAATTGTTCATCATCATAATAATTTTTAAAAACTATTTATAAAATAAATTCCTAATTCCACAACCTCTTTCAAACTCTAGATAAAAGAATATAGAAGTATAACCTGAGTAATTCCAGTAAGATTGATGCAAAAATCGGAAAGCTGTGTGTTCATCTCTGGCCTTACATACTGCTGAAACGTATCTTCCTATAAGGGAAGGACAGCAAGTTAAGGTACTTTATATGATTTAAGAGATATGACACATGATATATGACGTCAGTCATACCAGGCTGTAAATATGCTCATGGCATAGGCCCTTTCAAGGCTTTTAAAGATACTTTTGCATGCCCAAAGCACTCTAGTTTTTAAATTAAAAAATCATTTTTTTCAAAGCTCTAAAAATTTTAAGATAAAGCGGTGTCTGAAAGCAAGCCTTCAAACCAAAATTTAAATAAATATTTTCCTGGGGAACAAAACGTTGACTATTTTCATGATACTTCAAAACTATAAAGCCTATTAATGCAACCTCTACTTCAAAATACGAAGAGTTCTTAAAATAATAATAAGCGATTCTGAAGAAATGTCAGTCTTCAGTTATAATAAATTAACTTTAAATTTCTGCTCTCTCATTTATTCCTGGATAGTCTTTATTTTCATATAAACATTCAACTGAACTAAATTCTGAATAGTCGAAACTTAACTGCTCCGAGCGTGGTGGCTCACGCCTGTAATCCTAGCACTTTGCCTGAGCCCAGGGGTTTGAGACCAGCCTGGCAACTTGTCAAGACCTTGTCTCTACAAATCAAAAAAGTTAGCCGGGCATGGTGGTGGTGTATGCCTGTAGTTCCAGGTACTTGAAAGGCTGAGGCAGAAAGATTGCCTGAGCCCAGCAGGTCAATGTTGGGGTGGCCATGAGTGTGCCACTGCACTCCAGCCTGGGTGACAGAGTGAGACTTTGACTCAAATCCCCCCCCCCAAAAAAAAACTTAACTATATGATATGCAGCAGCTTAAGCACTGGTAATACTGCATTTCTGTAGCAATTTTTAACCTCTTCAGGTTTCCTGCTGGCCTTATTTCAGACACACAATTCTGTGAAATGAGTGAGGCCCCTATTGCTGTGATTACCTGGCTCCGGTCACTAAGTGCTTTTTTCCCTACCCCAATTATACCTCCCTAAACCCAAACATGCTAAGTCATCTTTTTATTTTTATTTATTTTTTTATTTTATTATTTTTTTTTGAGTTGGAGTCTCACTCTGTCACTCAGACTGGAGTGCAGTGGCCGCTCCCTGCCATGGCAGCCTCAACCTGCTGGGCTCCGGCGATCCTTCTGCCTCAGCCTTCCAAGTAGCTGGAACTACAGGCGCGCACTACCACACCCAGCTAATTTTTTGATTTATTGTAGAGATGAGGTCTCGCCAAGTTGCCCAGGGGGGTTTCGAACCCATGGGCTCAGGCAATCCACTTACCTCAGCCTCCCAAAGCGCTGAGATTACAGGCTGAGCCTCCAAGCCCGGCTCGTCTTTTTAAAATTAATAAACATCTTAAAATCTAAAGATTTAAAGACAATTGTTAATCTTGGGTATTAACAGAGATATGGAGAAAAAGTCAAAGAATATTCTTTGTGGCAGAAGGTTAAAACATTTTTTAAACTAAATGTCTATACTTTCTAAGAATAAATTCCTTTTATATGTCAATCTATTAAGCAGATGAACAATAAATGGTTGCTAAGAATTATAAAAGAGCAAAAGCAAAGAACAACAAAAAAGAGCACGTGAACTTCAAAAGCTACATGCTCATTACTTACCACATACATTAAAGAATTCCACTTAACAATATCACAGATAAAGTCTATATATCATTAAGTACCAATGTCTTATTTTGTACTTTTATTTATTTATTTATTTATTTATTTTTGAGTTGGAGTCTCACTCTGTCGCCCAGACTGGAGTGCAGTGGCCGCTCCCGACCACCGCAGCCTCGACCTGCTGGGCTCCGGCGATCCTTCCGCCTCAGCCTTCCGAGTAGCCGGAATTATAGGTGTGCGCTACCACGCCCGGCTGATTTTTTGATTTATTGTAGAGATGAGGTCTCGCTGCCCAGGTGGGTCTCGAACCTGCGGGCTCAGGCAATCCACTCACCTCAGCCTCCCAAAGGCGCGGGATTACAGGCTGAGCAACCGAGCCCGGCTTATTTTGTACTTTTAAATGGAAGTCTTTCAAAAATATATTGTAACTTCTCTTACCATTACAATCAGGTAATTCTAAATATTATAAATGTCACCAAAATTCTATTCATTTTTTTCATACTTTTAACAGAACAATGCTATAGAGAACTATGTATTCATTGACCAAATATTTAGTCACCATTTAATAAATCACATAGTAAACTGAAAGGTGGTGAGGATTATTAAAAGTAAAAGAACGCTGGGCATGGCAGTGCGCACCTATAATCTCATCTACTCAGGAGCTGAGCAGAAAGCTCATCTAAGCAAAGGAAAAGCAGAGTAGGTAAGGGGGATAAGAACACAGAGTATGTGGGGGTGCTTACAAGCTACACTCTTAAACAGGATAATCAGGTAAACTTTTCTCTTCTTTTTGAGTTGGAGTCTCACTCTATCATCCAGGTTGGAGTGCAGTGGCACGCTCACGGCCACCGCAGCCTCGACCTACTAGGCTCAGGCGATCCTTCTGCCTCAGCTTTCCAAGTAGCTGAACTATAGGCATGTGCCACCATGCCCACCTAATTATTTGATTTATTGTAGAGACAAGGTCTCGCCATGTTGCCCAGGCTGGTCTTGAACCTGTGGGCTCAGGCAATCCCTGTCTCTACAATTAAAAAAAAAAAAAAATTAGCTGGGCATGGTAGTGTGCACCTGTAGTGCCAGCTACTTGGAAGGCTGAGGCAGAAGGATCATCAGAGCCCAGCAGGTTGATGCTGGGATAGCCGTTAGTGTACCACTATACTCCAGCCTGGGCGACAGAGTGAGACTCCAACTCAAAAAAAGTGGGATCTGAATTAGAATGATTTGCCATTACCCAAACTAGGGAAGGCTGAAAATAGAATGTGGCCACATGGAGACTCATGCCTGTAATCCCAGCACTTTTGGGAGGAAGAGGTGAGAGAATTGCCTGAGTCCAGGGGTTCTAGACCAGCCTGGGCAACATGGTGAGACCTCGTCTCTACAATAAATTTTTAAAAAGTAGCTGGGCATGGTGGCACATGCCTGTGGTTCCAGCTACTTGGAAGGCTGAGGCAGAAGGATCGTCTGAGCCCAGCAGATTGAGGCTGCGGTGGCCCGAGAGGATATCACTGCACTCCAGCCTGGGTGACAGAGTGAGACTCTGACTCAAAAAAAAAAAAAGAATATAATTAAAAGAGGCTTTAAATAGCACTAAGAATAATCTACACATTTCAATGCACAAAGCCTTTTTATTTACTCCCAGTGGCTTGGTGATAACCGGAGATAACTGGAGGTAACAAAGAAGTGACTTTTGAACAGATGAGATGTTATGATATACTCTCGCTCAGAATTTATAAGGCAAACAGTATTATTTTAGGAAATTCCTACTATGACTCCCAGAACTAATGCACTGACAGGTATCTAAATCATACATATTATGTGGCTGAGAAACCAAGGTTATATGAGTTGTTTCCCCCATAAATGTTACACTACAAAGACAGTTCTAGGTTGAAAAGTGAGTTTTGTAAATTATCATTCTTAGAGATCAGAGTTCACATTAGGCTACAGCAGTGGTTCTCAACCCTGACTATTACCAAAGCCAAATGAGAAGCTTTAAAATAAATGCTGATGTCTCTACCACACAAGTAAATTGGAATTGCTAGAACCAGGCATAAGGTCTTATTTTTGTTTTACTTCCTAGGAGATTCTGATGTTTACCCAGATGTTCTAAGCAACAGAAAAAAATACCATGACTTTAGCTACTGGAAAAACGGAAAAGGAGAAGCAGTCTCTGAAATTGCTTTATTACAGCTTTTCTGTTAATCAAGCTGATATAAAGATCACAGTAAGAGAAAACAGTCTACTTCAGAATTCTAATTCTAGCTAAAATAGCAAATGAAATCCTCTACTTTACTAATAAACACCAGAAGAGTTGCTGCTAAAAACAAAATTAAAATATAACAATTCACTTACTATTTCTAAGGTATGTGTATTAAGTAAAACAACAGGAAATTCAATTATTTCATGTATGAACTCAGGTGGGTTACCCTCTTCACAAGTGGCTTCAAAGTCAATAATACAAATGTAGTCATAGTAACTGTCAGCACAATTGCTCTCTTTCAACATCAGCTTCTGCTTCTTATAGTAGTTCTTCAGTCTCTTCTTTAGTACATCCTTTACTCCTCTAAGTAGAAAAAGAATAAAATTTACTCTTAGGTAAATTTACAGTCCAGAATCATAACTCTTACCTGTTGGCACTGGGTTAACACTAACAGTCACAGCATAACTGTGCAAATGCTAGCTAAAACAAAGAAAGCAGGACTCAAAGCGAAGTTAGTAAAGAATTAAAATACAACATTTAATGCAATATCAACATTTTCTTCCACAAGTAACTTTTCATTTTACTAATCCATAACTGCATTTTCTCCAACATATACTGATATACACTTGTCAGTATACACCACCAGCACAGCCATACTGCCTTATATACTAAGATGACACACATGATACAAATACTGAAATTAATACTGAATTATTCTGCTGGCCAAAAGATACATTTCAAAATATAAAAATCCAGGTAAATTGAATTCTCATACTATCTCTTTCCTTTCTTTTGGCTTCTGTAGGTTAGAAAACTAAAAACATTCCAATGAATATGAAAGCATTATGAACCTAGCATACAAAGTTTAATGTCTGTAAACTATTCAGTGAGGAAAACTGATCTAAAAATACTCTAGAGTAAACCATCCAGAGGGATATTATCATACTCAGTAGGTTCTTAATTGGAAGTAGGTTTCCTACTTTATCATGGACAGAATATGACTTAGGGGATTTCAATATTACAAAGTTTTCAAATATGCAACCCACAAATGAACTAGCCAGGAGTAGGGAAGGAGCCTCCTACATAAGTAACAATGATTGATAAGACTGATCACATCCTTCAGACAGCATGAATTTCTTCAAAACATTAAGTCACAACCAGTATTCAGGCTTCCTTCAGTGTGACTTGGTTGAATCCTATATTGGACTGCAAATACAAAATGGTAGTATAAGAGCATCTAAATTTTAATAATATGTAGCGCCAAATAATGTATTTTCATCATATAACTAGTGACTATTACATTTGTTAAATCGTTGGTTTTCCTTTCTATACTACCACTTAAGCACTAAAAAGGAATCCTACCCATGAAAATACTCACCAGCTAGCTGTCTTAAGACAAAACGCCTTGAGCTGGGTATGGTGGCTCACATCTGTAATCCCAGCACTTTGGGAGGCTGAAGTGAGAGGACTGCCTGAGCTCAAGGGTTCAAGACCAGCTTGGGCAACATGGCGAGACCTTGTCTCTACAATAAATAAATAAAAAATTAGTCGGGCTTGGTGGCACATGCCGATGGTTCCAGCTACTTGGAAGGCTGAGGTGGAAGGATCACCTGAGTCCAGCAGGTCAAGGCTGCAGTGGCTGTGAGCATGCCATTGCACTCCAGCCTGAGCAACAGAGTGAGACTCTGACTCAAAATAAAATAAATGACAAAATGTCTTAATATGTTTATTTGCTTGAGATTTTCCAAATTATCGAAACCTAGGAAGAAAACATCTTAACTCCTTTCACTTGAAGGCACTGTGAGTGATCTGTGTCATGTAAGAACTGTGGATTACTTTTGGCAGCACAAACACATATAACTAGTTGTTCTGGATAGAAACATATCATCTTTAACATTTCTCTTGCTGCTCCAAATACTCACCATTTTTGCCACTTCCAACTCAAAAAAAAATTCAGAATCTGGTTCTCCTGAAATCTCTCTGCTATGGTTCACACTAACTTCTTAGACTATGGCAAATGCCTCCACTACCACAAGCCTTTAATTTATTCTTTACCTTATTTGAGAACTGAGCATTAATGCCAATTTCCTGCTTAAATAACTTCAGTGGCTCCCTTCTGCTTAAAAGTTAAAAGTAGATGTCAGCACAGAAGTCCTTCACAACTTAGCTACAATCTATCATTTCAGTATCACTCTCAGAAGTCCCCAGGGTACATCATGACCGCAGAGAAAACATACTATAAGTCATGGCCCAAATATGTGGTACACCTTTATGTTCTGTATCGTTGGTTGTATGATAGCTGAAGAAAAGGCAAAATCATGTCGCAGAAAACAAACAAACAGGAATCTGAAGTTTTTGAGTTCTTTTTGCCTGAAATACCCTCGTTCTCTTTTCTGTTTGGCACTATTCAAATGTCACCTTACTGTATTCTCATACAGTAGGTGGCCAGACTTTCAAAATAATACTGGCCAATCTACTATGATTGTGTGTCTTCCAAATGACTGATATTTTCAAAGTGGGGAGTATATCTGTATTTACCGTTGTAACTTCAATGCCTAGTATAGTGCTTAGAATTCAACACAGGCTTGTTGAATAAATATATAAACATACATCTAGATCTCTAGCTCCCATGCAAGCCAGAAGCAAGCAATTGATATTCACACCTGGGAAGGACAAAACCTTTGCTGAGAAAATCTTCTGTAGACTACAGGTTATACCTTCATAACAGAAAGAGTCAAGGGAAAATGAGGTCAAAATTTTCTTCACAAAGTTTGATGTAGACAATCTAGAAGGAACAAAAATATATTTGTGCCCTCGTGAAAATTACTGGTGCTGTATTTTAAAGCAAAGAGGAGAAATACAACTTATAAGAAAATAAGAATTATGGTATACCCTGAAGCAATAAAAATTTTCATCTATTACATCCAATTTTTGATTGATGTCTAGCAGATCCACTGCTTATCAAAAATCTATATATTTTTCAGTACTCCAAGTCATTCCTTCCCCATGCTCCAAGTCAAAGTAGGTGATTTGTTTTGTGAAAATTATTAAAAACTTAGGTATGTGTACATCTAATTAAAGATACATACACAGTCGACTAGACTGCGCTGTTTTCTCATCTAATATATAGTTAAACATAATGGATACTATCATTCTGGATTATTTTTAGAAAATAAAAAAAAATTCCTGGTAAGTGAATAATGTTTTTAAGCTACTGTACCTGGTTTCACACAAACATTTTTTTATAAAAACAGTACATATGGCCAAAAGAAAAAAGAGAAAAATATTCAATCTTATGAATAAGATAATTATCCATCAACTAAATAACTAAAAAAAATAAAAATGCGTTATGAGTCAAATACGCCTATACATTGCTGGTAGATCTTTAAAATATTCAGACTCAAGCAGGGCTCGTTGGCTCAGCCTGTAATCCCGTGCCTTTGGGAGGCTAAGATGAATGGATTGACTGAGCCCGTGGGTTTGAGACCCGCCTGGGCAGCGAGACCTCATCTCTACAATAAATCAAAAAATCAGCCGGGCATGGTAGCGCACGCCTGTAGTTCCGGCTACTCGGAATGCTGAGCGGA